TAATGAAGTCATAAACACTACAGGTTACAATCATTCACCTCACGCAGTGAAGGAACGTGACCAGAGGTGCTATAATGTTATAGCAGAGAAAGCTAAAATAACACTGCTATTTCCAAAGACCTTCTTCTGCTTCTGTATTTGGGCATCCAAAGGACACAACATAAAGAGAGAAATGCTTACATTTCACAATTTGATTTTACAATCAAATGCTTTGATTTTAATTATGTTCCAGAGAATTATAAAAAGATATAGCTCTAGCACTTGACAAAGAAGAGCTTCCAGAATCTCTCTCAGTTCAGTGCTGGATTCGGCTAAAAACTCCTCAAAGAAGGAGCAGCTCTAACCATTATTGAAGAAACTGTGGATTCTGAGCCACAACATGTAAGTATTTTAATTTGTTAAAACTTATCAATAGTGCATAGTGTCTAGCGTTAATGGTTTGTTGTAGCAATGACATAAACATGTACCTGTGGTTTTGTACAATAATTTGCAGCTTCAATTCCTAATGTTATAAGGCGGCAACCTGATATATTATTGTGATATTACAGATATTATTGTGGGAGGTGAGCGTCTGATCACACCTAATACATTGTTAGTTGAGAGGTGCTTTTGTAAAGGTGTTTTCTATTAGCACTAAAAGTTTTGTATGCTGCTTATGTGCCTTGCGTTTTCCTTGTTTTCTTATTTTTTAATAGAAACTAAAAAAAATGTTTTTTTCACCTCGTTGCGCTGTAGGTATGCATAGAAAAAGCAAACAAAAAACCAGACAAGCTTATCGGTAGCCCAACGCAAAGTGTAAAACAGATAATAAAGTGTAACATTGCACTAACTTGCACATAATTCCGTTACAAGGTGGCGCCAAACAGTAAAAAAAACGCAAAGCTGACAAAACGCAAAGCAGACATAAGTGAAACTGGCAGAATAAATCATAAAATACCTACATATTATTCATTTACAAGATGGGGCCAAACGGTCCAAAACAAGTTAACAGATGAGTCTGCATTATTTAGAGGATGTTAACTGGGAATAACATACCTTGGAATGTTGCGACTGACTAAATATTGCTTTTAATTGGTTTTGCTTTATTTTGCTTCCAAAAATTGCAGTGAACACAACATTATACTGTAGGTGACATAGAGTTCAAAAGAGGATAAATTGTTGCGCACCTAACTGGCGCATATATGACCAAGACACCTAGTTTTTGTGATGTATTAAGAGCCATAGTATCCAGGGTCATGTCAGCAAAAAACCAAGAAGAAGGAACCACAGCTGTTTGAAAGGGATGTTCGGCTACTAACCTGGATTGTATTGAAAAAGCATAAAACCACAGCTGCCCATCTCATTTATTATCACGGCAGAGATAAATGTACACCTCAAATTTCTTCAATACAGAGTCAATAAATGCAGGTCTGATATACGTTTGGTTACACGTGCCATAGCCAAATGTCATTTTCAATGGTGCCAGTAGTGAAAATCTTGGGTTGTGGACAATTTAAAACATGTATTGTTCTCTGATGAGTCCACCTTCATTGTATTTCCAACATCCAGGAAAGTTATGGTGTGGACAACCCCTAAAGAAGTGTACCACCCAGACTGTTGCATGCCCAGAGTGAATCATGGTGGTGAATCAGTGATGATTTGAGCTGCAATATCATGGCATTCTCTAGGCCCAATACTTGTGCTAGATGGGTGTATCTCTACCACTGACTATCAAACCCTTCTGGAGGACCATGTGCACACTGTGGTTCAAACATTGTATCCAGAAGGCAGTGCCATGTTTCAGGATGATAATGCACCAATACACACAGCAAGACTGATAACAGAGTAGTTTGATGACCATGAAAGTAAAGTTGAACATCTCTCATGGCCTGCACAGTCACCAGTTTGTTGCTCAAAATCTTTTTATTCCCAACACTAGTAATATAATTCATAGATATATTTATATATTATATTTTAAAATAGGATAAGATACTAATCGTTGACTTTTTACTGCACATGAATTTTACAATTCAACTTTTAAAATTGAGGCTCCACTTAAACACATTAAATGATGTACATAACTACTTGCCACATATTTTTAAGGATTCTTGTTTTCGTTACCATAGACATTCTACACGTCATTGACCTCAATGCGAAACTTCCAGCCATCAACTCTCTCCTAAGGCACAGCTCTTCACTGATTGGCTCGAAGTCAAATGACTCATAAAGCTTGACACTCATATGACATTGAATGAGGCATCAGTGATTCACAACATCACCGCTATCCTCTGTTTGCCATCCCAAATATTACAAATCCCACAAATACCAAAAGCTGTGAATGTCCACCTTTGTTAAATCTATTCAATCTCAGCTCGCTCTCCAATGCTGCATGCCGTCCAAGAACAAATGCGCCAATGGCAGAGTAAAATGATTTTATTACTTGGAAGCGGCGCTCTGGTGACCCCGGGATGGCGAGGCCTCATGGAAATGACTGTAATGTGACAAATGGCTCAACATTACAGTGTATAATTGTCCATTAGTGAGAGAAGTCAGTGCTTAGAGCTCTGGGAGTTGGAGGAGAGTGTGTTAGAGGATACGGCCTGCCAAAAGCTGATCCTCTGAGAGACCACAGAGAAGCTTTAAGGATCTGTGATTATCCGAAGTATTCTTCGGGCAGCTTTATATAAGAGCAGGATGTCATTTCATTAAGCAATTACTGCATAACCAGATCTGAAATTACTCGGTTCACATTGATCGAAGTTGTTGTTATTATTATTATTTTTAATTATTAAATAAATTTGTTTGTGTGTGTACCTTGTATTCCTGTATTGTTCTGGTGACCAAATTCAATTCAATTACATTTTTGTACTAATTAACCCAATTAACTTAGTTGGTCACACTTTACAATAAGGTTCATTAGTTAATGTTAATTAATGCATTTACTAACATGAACAAACAATGAACAATACATCAACTACTGTATTTGTTCATGTTAGTTAACGTTAGTTAATGAAAATACAGTAGTTCATTGTCAGTTCATGTTAACTCATGGTGCGTTAACTAATATTAACAAGCATGGACTTGGATGTTAATAATGCATTAGTAAATTTTCAATTATAATTAATAAATGCTGTACATGTGTTGTTCATGATTAGTTTATGTTAGTAAATGCATTAACTAATGAACCTTATTGTAAAGTGTTACCACTTAGTTAAGCACTTGAATTGCACTTTAAGCTGAATACAACTGTCTTGAAAAATGTCTAGTAAAATATGATGTACTGTACTGTCATCATGGCAAAGATAAAATAAATCCGTTATTAGAAATCAGTTATTACAACTGTAATGTTTAGAAATGTGTTGAAAAAAAGTCTGTAAAACTTATAAATATACAAAATAAATATTAATATATAAAAATAAATATACAAGGGGGCTAATAATTCAGATACTGTGTGTAAAATACATTCTGCTGTTATATAATATACTGTAGAGTGTCCTTTTCAAAAAGGTGGTGTATATAATAATTTTTTTTGTGCCCACAAGTAAGCAATACCAGTAAATTTTTTTTTTGTTTGTTTCAAGAAAATTGCTTATGAATCACACAAAATTAAATATTTTCAAAATATGAAAATGCAGATTGCTTCCTGTGAAGGTTGGGTTTAAGAGTAAAGTTGCTGTACGAGATAAATATTTAGCATGTGTGTACTCTATGTATGTATGTATGTATGTATATAAATATTATTTAATTTTTAAAAATTTTAATTTTTAGATTGTTTAAAATTTGTTAAAAATTTTAAATGGATATAAAAAAGAACAGAAAAAAGCTTGAAAACAACATCAAAAATACAAAAACTTTGACTGAAATTACATGAAAAAGAAAAGACCTCATAGCAGCTTGACTTTTACCACGTTTTCAGATTTTATCACATTTGCACCCATTTATTCACTTGTTTATTTTATTTTATTTATTTATTTTTTTTGGTTTTGTCTTATCTACTTTCTAGAACCGTTCTTTGCTGAATTCGAGCCACTTTGTCACAGTCAACTCCCCTCTGTATTTCAGGTTCCTTGAAGTACGTGGCGAGCCACCAGACAAACAGATAACTCCGTCCACACAGAGGTAAGCTGTCAGCTGTTAAGCGTGAAAAGGAATGGCGTCATAACGCACCGTAGCATTCGCTTTAAAGATAAAATGCACCCATAAGTTCCTCTGGCTATATAATTTGTGATCTCCAGAAATGTATATAGGGGTATGTTGTCAGAATGAGCCTATGTTAGCTTTATCTAAAAAAAACTCAATTTTTCATTCCCTCACAAAAGCCCAACTCGTATTATTTACATCACAAATGTTTTGCGAGTGTATTTAACATTTTCCAGAGAAATGCAAACATTTTGTAATTAAAAAAAAGTTTTGACCTTAACACAAATGATATCTGTAAAGATAACATTCTTTTTATTTAAATACACATTTTATAGAAGATTGCATCATTTAGCAAAAGTCTTGAGCTCAATTAAACTTTCTTGGACAATAAAGTTTTGCAAGTGAACATTTCTGAAAGGAACATAAAAGTTTTGACCTCAACACAAAGTTTTCACTTCAACACAAAGTTTCTACAAACCTCTACTGGGGGGATTGAAAGTACAGTAAATATTTTGAAATCAACATACACTTTCTTAAGGGAACACAAACCAACAACATTTTCGGGGGAACATAAATGTTTTAAACCTGAACACAACATTTCTTGAGATAAGGTAATACCTTTTGTTTTTGACACAACCACAAAAGCTTAAAATAATTGTAACTCCCATATTCTCTTTTTCAACCAATACCTTTAATAATGATGTCAAAATAATTGAATGAACACAAGTGGTTTAAAAGAATGGGTGCTTCCTTTAACTTTCTAATATTCTGGAGTGTTTTCCTTTCCATTAACAAGCCCTGAAGCACAATTTTATAGTTTCCCCAATATTTCCAGGTTCTCCCAGTAAGGTATGTGCAGTGATAAGATAGACGTGCAGTACCTGTGATGGCGTGGTGAGAGAAGGCCTCCACGTAGGTCAGGTAGTTGTGGGGACAGTGTTTCTTTAGCCACTTACACACGTCCTGCTGGGTCCACAGCACCACGGGTTTGCATAAGCTGGAGAGCGTCGGGCTGGTGTGGTACACAGTAAAGGCCTCTCCTGGCTGGATCTATGGAGCAAAAATAAATGGCCAGTTGTCACCATGTTGACTAAAACCAGTTAAAGGAGTTTCTAATAAGCATTTGTTTAAGGAAATATCAAGAGTTTGAGGCTTTAAAACACAAACACATGTTTAGTTTGTTGCTGTAGGGGTAAATGATGCACAAGCTGTAAGGCTCCACCCACTTTTGGAAAATGGGACAGGGAGTAGCAGCTCATTTGCATTTAAAGAGAATCAGGATTTGTGCTCATTCAAAAGAAGCAATTACAGAATGGTATAATAAATTTAACCAGGAACATTGAGAAAAATCTTAAAGTACATAACACACGATTCACACAAAGCATCAGCATCGACATTCACCCATTTAATTCCTTTGAATGGGTGACGTCAAGCATTGCCGAACTGAATTGTGGATCTAGCCGTTACTTGCTGCAGTTGGGAAGTTCTTGAGAATAGAAGCGTCAGCCAATCAGATCGCTTTATGCAAATACCCCAGCTCAGACAGTAGCCAGTTGCGGTCTAATGTCATTGGCTTACACTGCTATGGCAATCATTTCGGCCCCAACTTCAGACACACCATCAGTCAAGTGTTGACGCTGATGTCCCATGTGAATCGGGTGCAAGTGGACATGGAAGACTTATATTACATTGTGTAAAGACAGCCTAACATGACTTTATTACTAAACAAAAAATACGGGTAACCGATAGGCTAACATGCCAACTTTCCATCAGATAAAAAAACTATACAGTAATTCTAAAAAAACAATTGGCAAAAGGAAGATAGAAACAGGAAAGAGGGTAAACCATTTGCCTTTTTATTTCTTCAGGGTGCACTTATAGAGTACTTTTCTCTTTGAAAGCGCTAATTAAAACAACTAGCGCCGCGTGCTTCTGTGTAAACAATGCTCTTCTAATTATACGCACACTTTGTTCTGACTGCAGTAATGAGCCAAAAGCTTCATCAAAACACACTTTTATGGCTCTCTGCTGCTAATTCTTGTATAATCAGAACTGTAATATAAAATTTTACAAGGGTACATTACGCCTGTGTGAGAACGTGATGAAATGCCGCACTAGTTCCTGTAAACTACAGTATGAGAATAAACAAAATACTATATTCCTGCGACATAAATAAAAAAATAAATATTTATTTAATATGTACAAAATCAAAGTCAAAGCAGCTTAACATAGAAGTTCTAGTGAATTGAAACTGCTACAGTCTAGTTATCAGAGTTAAAGTTCAGTTTAGTTCAATTCAGTGTGGTTTAATTTTCACTGCTGTAAGTCCAAACACTGAAAAGCAAATCCATCAATGTGCAGCTTCACAAGTCCCAAACCAAGCAAGCCAGTGGTGACAAATTAATGCCTAAAAAACATCTAAGCTTATTTAAGAGAAGTGAGCATGTAATTTAAAAAAATAAAGTCAAAGGTCAGTCTAACAGATAGCAGCTCTTGTTTAAAAAAAACTACATAAAACAAGGCTAGTATTTGTTATTGTGAAGAGCTGCAGGTCACACATTAATCAACACCTATGACAGAAGCTCATTTTCACTCAGAAAACAGACAGAAAGAGACAGGCATTAAGGTAACAGACTGAACATAACAGACAGAAAGAGAGTGAGAAAGATAATGATTTAGACATGAGCATCATTTTTCTTTCATAGTAACTAAAAACTGTCACAAAAAAAGATAATAAAGTAGATGGCTCAACATATAGGATGGCTCCTGTGGGAAAAGCTCAAAATATGATTCTGTGTGAGAAGAGAGAACGTCAAACATGAGACCTAGCAAAATGAAAGAATGGTATATGACAGAAATGGCAAAGATTCGAATGACAGAGTGTGATATAAAAGCGAAAAAGAGAGGTCGTTTAAGTCTCTGCATATTATTTCTAGGTGTGTAATGGGAGTCATATTTCTGCTGCTACTGTAAGGTACTTTCCGTGAACGGGATACAAAATAGAGCCTCAAAGTCTTAAAGGGGTAGTTCAATAAAAATTGAAAATCATTCATCATTCAGACTCCCAATGTCATTTCAAACCATCCTTTCTTCTAAGGAACATAAAACATCAATGCAGGCTTATTCTGAAAACGTACCTCTATATATATTTCTGGAGAGTGCCAAATACGTCTCCAGTAGGTACTTTTTTTGCAGTTTTTGTTTTTGCAAGTCCACCAGAGGCCACGGTGTATACTTTGTGAGATCTCAAATTTCTCTCACGAGTACCATTCATGCCTGCTGTTCTCACTTAAATCTACCAGAGGCAGCTGTGGACTGACTGTTTGACTGACTGAATGACCGATCGACTGATCCACCATCCTCCTTTGCTTAATCCCACCAACAGTGTTTTCAGAAGCACAGATTGACCAGCGCCCACCCACTTCTCTACACCCAAACGAAAATAAAAAAAAAGCAATCCAGATAAAGAAATGCCCTTGCCTGGTTTTTACCATGTCTTTTTTTTACCACTTTTCACCCTGATATTTACTTGTTTATTTTGTTTATTTTTTTATTCTGTTTTTGTCGTACCTGCTTTCTGAAACCATTTTTTACTGGACTCGAACACCATTGCTGTGGTCAACTCCTTCTCTGCGTCTCAAGTTCATCAACGTACAGTACATGGTGAGATAACTGGACAAACTGGTTACATCGGGAAAGCCATCCACACGGAGGTAAGTGGTCTGCTGGTAAGCGACACAAAAACTTATATAGGGCTACATTTTCAGAATGTGCCTATGTTGTAAATGATGATGTTCTGGACATCCATTTTGCCTATAGTACTTCTTTTGTTCTTTGTGCCATGGAATGCTGTATAGCTGGGAAAACTCCATTTTAGTCCATTTTGACATGATTGCATTCAGGCCTGGAGCCAGCTATGAGGTCATCCAGGTCTGGGCTTCTGTCAATTTTTTTAAACTACTCATATGAGTGTCTGCATATATAATTAAGTTTAGACAGTTTGCAAGACAGTTTGTGTCCGTGACATGAAAATGATCACTGCGAGACTCTGGCTGAGTGAACGAGGCTTGAGAGAGCTGTTAGTGCAGCATCTGCCGTGTTGCCAGATCCAGCTATTATAAGCGTCTTTGCAATGGTCTTTTCTGCTTAAAAAAATGTTTAACCTTCAGATCCAAATTATGTTCCTAGTTTCTGAAAAAGTTCTTGAAGCTCCTATAAATTAGACCAAATTGCAATCAGAAAAATTCAACACCCTTTAAGCGTATATATTTTTTGCTCATTTCAATAAACATCAGGTCAGAACATTGCTTACCGAACATTATACCAACATAAAATACAAAAGGAAAACATACAAGATTGCTGGTTTAGTCTTGAAATTTATCTTCAAAATCACAAACATTGTAACATTTTTACTTTAGTATTTATGTTTTGTTGTATAGATTGCACCTTGTTTATAACAAACTGTATCTTCATTTTTCTCATTACTCCACATAATATCCACATCTGAGATACTTCCATCTACTATATGCTCAAGAACTGTATATTCTGCATATAGAATTGTTTCAGCTATGAATAAGTACATCGATATAGATTTTTTAATATAAGTAAGTTCAATCAGCATTACTGGAGATTTACTTTCAGTAACAGATCTTGAATCCATTGTCCATCCTAATAGACAGACATATTTGAAAAAATAAAAAATAAAAATCTGATCTACAGCTTGCATGTTACAACAGATATACACTTTAATTAATAAGTGCAATCCCTCTTTTTTACATACAATCTTTGATTTATTGGCAATAATATCAATAATTCTGAATAAAAACATTGTAAATGTGGCTTATGTCTGTGTCTGGAGTGATTTGATCATGCCATGCTGCTTTTCAGTGTAGTGGATTTATTATTATTATTATTATTATTATTATTATTATTCAAATTACAACATGCTAAGCCTTACTGCCGTCTGATTGGATAACAATCATCCATACTAATGGACTGCAGGCTTTAAATTCGATGAAATGCAGAGGAACCACACACAAAATAAATAAGTAAAATAAAGTAAAATAAAAATAAATAATAAACAAACATTTGATGTTCATTGTAATGGACACAGGGTCCGAAGGGGTTAAAAAGTGGGAACTTAAATTAAAAGATTTAAAGTCACTCAAAGAGCTCATGGACAGGTTATTTATTGCTTTAAGAATGTCACATTTAGTAAGGAATTGAAAAACATAAATACATTCTTGACATTATCTATTGAAACGCTATCAATGCTATCAAATACAGTAGCATGTAACACTAATGCACAATCTGTAGAACAAGTTATTTCTGGAATAAAATTTAAAAAAATAAAATATCCAAACATAATGAAGAAGTTTAAATCTACACCAGGGATTTTCAACTGGTGGGCCTGCAACGATCCTGCAGGTGGGCTGCAAGCTTAAAATAAACTTAAATAATACACTATAAATATTTAATTTCATTATTAAATATGTTGTCAACAAATTATCCAAGTAATGACATTTCCCATTTTCAATGATTGATTACTTCAAACTAACAGTGGCTTAACCCTCTACCACATGGTGTTGCCATATGGCAACATGATATTTATGATTATTCCCTGCGAGTTTCTTTATGACCAACATTGACTTTTTATTTATTTTTTATTTTTTTGGAAAGAAAAGACCGTTCGAGGTTACAGAAGTAACCCTTCGTTCCCCGAGGAGGGGAACGGAAGTGCCATGAATGGGAGGATTCGGATCAGAAGCCGCTTATCTGGAGAGTATTGAACGGGCCAATGAATGAAATTAATTGGCAGCGTAAGCTTGCGCAGGTGTGCGACATCTGCAATTATCTCAGCATATAAGCACACCTGAAGCCAGCAGACGCCATCCTTTTAAGCTGAAGAGACTTTCAAACAGCTAAGGGACAGTCATTATGGCGACGGAATATGGCACTTCCGTTCCCCTCCTCGGGGAACGAAGGGTTACTTCTGTAACCTCGAACGTTCCCCTTCGGTTGGGGAACTTCAGTGCCATGAATGGGAGAAT